AAATTTCACAATAAAAGTCTCCCATTTACTCTGTAATACAGCAGCTATTCACCTAATAACATGGAAAACCAGTGATTTAACATTTGGAAATGGATTCTATATCACTGCTGGGCATGACCCATCTTTTGATGCAATTCAATTCAATTCAGTTTATTTATATAGCGCCAAATTCACAACACATGTCATCTCAAGGCACTTTACAGTTCAACCAGATCATACAGTCAAATTGATACAAAGTTTTCTATCTAAGGAAAACCAGTTGATTGCATTGACTCATTGACTCAAATACAATCCCCCACACTAAGCATGCTTGTAGCGACAGTGGAGAGGAAAAACTCCCTTTTAACAGGAAGAAACCTCCAGCAGAACCAGGCTCAGTGTGAGCGGCCATCTGCCGAGGCCGACTGGGGTTCAAGGAGACAGAAACAGAGATACAAAAAGCAGCTGTAAAAGGCGGCCCCGTCCAGGAAACACACAGCCAGGCAGACGAGCTCCAAGGCAGCTCCCATGCCAGAGGACGAAGAGAGCACATCCACTCAGTCACGGCCAGAGAAACAGGACCACACTGGAAAACAGGCCGATCTCCAACATCTATAAACAAGGGTGTTGATGGAAGCAGCACAGCTGATGTTTCTTTCCAGGATGACGTCACAGCCAAACAGGAACAGACGAGGCAAATCCATGATAGACTTTCAAAATAACACTACAGGGACTCTACAGAATAAAAGCCTCTTCCTTATACACACTCATACATTCTGGCATATTGCTCATAGCCATTTGTAATTTCATCACTGCAATGGCTCTGAGCATGCGGGCGGAGCCCGCCATTGGTGATTTCATCACTGCAATGGCTCTTAGAAGGCGGGCGATGCCCGCCAATGGTGATTTCATCACTGCAATGGCTCATAGCAGGCGGGCGGAGCCCGCCAACTGCGCTTTACCCACTGCGGTTCAATATGGACAACCCATATTACCCTTGTGCATCATATGCTGTGCACGTCTATTTCCCAGATTTCAGCACAAGTGGCACACAGCTCTCTTTGCCCATGACCTAGCCCTCTTTCCTTCCCTCAGCAGCCCTCAAAGGCGTAAGCAGTTGGTCTGGGGAGCCCCGACGTCACTTGCCAGGGCCGTATTGGCCCAGTTACCCAGACGGGCAGTAGGTGGCCCCCCTCAAAATTTCTTTAGAAATTTTCTAGTGTTTGTTATTGTTGTGTCATTACGCCATTGGTCAGAATTCTGACTATTTTTCCCATATTAAACTAAAATAATATTTAAATATCAGATAACATTTTTTATTCATTCAGTGGCCCTAATCCTCTTCTGTAGGTTGTTGCCTAGCAACCCTTATAAAAATGTTCTGGTTATGCCCCTGGAGGATTACACATTTTCACATAGTAGCTCATATATCCAATGAAAACTTTACTTAGCTGATAAATGCAATAGAACAGCTCAGGTTTATATATAAAGTGACAAACTAAACACAAGGTGTACTGTTTAATGGAAAAAAAGAAGCAAATGTACAGAGCATCTTTGGCGCAGCAGAAACAGGCCCAGTCTGCTCTGCTTGTGACCTTGCTTCGCCTTATTTGGACCTCTCGCCCACCGTAGCTCCAGCTGGGCTGTGTGTTTTGGTCGGATGACGGGAAGAGGATGTTTGTCTCTGTATAGTGGAGTCCGGGGCAGCCGTTCAACATGTCTCTGGATGGAGGAGGATGCAGAGGCTTCTACTTTAACACCGTCCTTTCTCTGGCTCGGTCCCTGGCGGCTCACCAGCACGCGCCTTTAGACAAGGTAACGGTCCAGCTAGCTGAGCTAGCAGCACACTGCGACACTGACGTCCTGAACTTCTCTCTTCCATCTGTCGGATGGGTTTTTACTATTATTTCTGTCCGGAAGTGACTTTATTTTCCTCTGTTAGCTTGTAGTTGTATCGATAACATTTCAATATTAACGTCGCTTGGCGGTAGGTAACCGCTAGCTGTTTTTAGCTCCTAGTTAATCTGTTCAGCTTCTCTCAGATGGAGCGCCTCAGTCTGATCTGTTTATCTTTCTTTCTTCTAAGTCTGAATATCCCGTTTAATTATCTGAATGTTTTGGTAACCTTCCAGATATTCTAAGCCACTTTCTAAAGTTTTAGGATTTGAGGAGCACTAAAGACCAACTGAGGAGTGAAACTGGACCTATAAACTCCTAAGTTTGAGGACATCTTACAGGATAATAATGTAAAGTTTATCTGATTGTAATGTTAGTGACTACATCAATATGTGTTAATACTCAGGAAGAAAACAGATTTAGTTCCCTATCCTCAGCAAAGAAAAGGGAAGCACCTTCAACTGTAGCTTAACTTGGGGGTTCATTGGCTCATTTCTTTGGTTAGTGGATTTCATGATACACTAATTAAATCATATTTTATTTATCCATTCCACATTGTTTTTTTTATGCTGTTTTTTTTTTTCTCTTTGGTTAGAAAAGGCAGATGTGCTGGTTAAAGAAGAAAAGGTCAGAGAATGGGGAAGTTTAAAACAGGAAGTGCATAATGGGATGAATGAACTGTTTTACCGACACCACTTTATTATTTCGAAGGGTTTTAGTTTGAGGAACTAATCTACTTCTCCAATGCTTCAAATTTTCTCTTAGGGTTTTTGATTTTTGTAGCATTATTTTACTAATTATGACGGTTCAACTACGGGAAGAACCAGGATACCGTACTTTAACTAATATGCAATTACCTTCCACTGCTCTTTAATTTAGATAACTTCTGTCCAAACTTTATTTATTCATTTTATAGTAAAGGCCATCTGTATATTATGCTATTGTACATAAGTGTAAAAACCCTTTTTATAGTAATATCCACCTGTATATTATATTGGGTACATATCCAGCTGTAAATTTAGTTCATAACACTAGTTATCTATATATTATATTCATAGGACAGATCTATTAGTAAAATTCTGTTTATAATGGTGTTCATCTCTATATTTATTTAGTAGAAACCCATGTCCTGTATTTATAGAACCATTATTTATCCTGCACTTGCTGCTATTGCACTTCTGGTTAGAACTAAACTGCATTTTGTTGCCTTGTACCTGTACCTGTGTAATAACAATAAAGTTTAATCTAATCTAATAAAACTGGTTATTTTCAATGTATTTTTGGTTAGTCTATAATATTTATTTAAACAATTCAGAAAAGCTCTGTCAGTTTTCATGTCAAAGGGATGAAAGAGAGAACATACAGTTAATCACAGTAAAGGCTGAGCCCTTAGCTATGTCTAGGAGAGAAACGGGATAAACACTGAAAAATAACCCCAACTTTATAATCTATGATCGGAGGTGCTGATGGCAGCAGCACAGCTGATTCATCTCTCCAGGATGGTGTCACAGCCAAACAGAAACAGACCAGATGAAGCTGCTATGATAAGAAAAGCAGAGAGCATAATATTTAATTAGCAAATAATCCAGAATAAGGGAATGGAGAGCAGAATAATGAAAAGTCATCCCCATATCCTCCAGCGATCTAAGCCTATAATAGCAATATAGAGGTAATCCCGTATAAACTGAGCTACTCTGAATATAAACTTTGTAAAAATAAACGTGTTAAGCCTAATCTTAAAAGTAGAACCAGTGTCAGCCTCTCAGACTAAGATCAAAACACAATCAAAATTCCTTTTTTTTAGATTATTGTTTGCACTGCAAGGAAATCAGGTTTCTGATTTAAATGCAGTTAGAGCGCAGCTAAACATGAGCTTTTAAATGAATATAGTGGGCTCTGCTACTTTGAACAATGTTGCACATGAGCTAGCTTATCACTTAGCAGTATACATCTGAAATCTTTATGAACAGGATGTTCCAAAAGGTTATCAAACTAATTTATCTCTGTCCTAGTCTGATGTATTAAAATTAAAAGATTTCTAAGGCCCCGTCCACACGAAGCCGAACCCTGGCCTAAACGCACAAATTTTTCACCAAACCAGCCTCTCATCCACACGAAGCCGGCGTTTCGGGGGTCTGTAAACGATCCTTTTTTTATTCACCCTTCAGAGTGGGAAGATTCTGAAACGCCGTTTTCGCGTTTCCATCTTTACACCCTAACCGCATTTTTTTTTTTACACGCATGCGTCATAGCGTCGCCTCTAAACACGCATGCGCGACACAGTATCACAACAACAATGGCGCCTTACTGTTTTGAATGGTTGCTGCTCACGCTACTCACCCTGCTGTCGGGCTTACAGCAGAATCTTCTTCTTCTGGGATATCTCCAGGAAGAACAGAGCAATATAGACGACATAGTTCAGCACCTCAATATGACTGAACCACGGAAATGGACCCGCAGGGCAACCAGGCGAAGGTATTTTCACTGTATTTTGAATAACACGTCTCCCAATCGACACTTTCTTGTAGTCTTTTGACTTTATAATCAAGTGTAACTCGAAGCAGCAGTTCCACTTCATCATCTGTCCAAACAAGACTTGTACATGTTCGCCCAGTCGTACTTGCCGCCATCTTTTCTATTCGGTTCTTCTTCTAGGGGTTTTCCGGTTTGGTTGTTGTAGTGCGCATGCCCAACATTTTGTCGCCTATTTTTGCTTTGGCACCACAGCGCCACTTACAGGCCTGGCATACATTTTGCAGCGTTTTCATGCATTGGTGTGGACGCTCACATTTATTTTACGTCTCCGTCTTTACGGCAAACGTTTTGGAAAATATCAGCGTTTCGTGTTCGTTTTGACTTCGTGTGGACGGGGCCTAAACCTTTTAGGTAGTGAAGGTACCGACCCCCACAGTTCATAAAGCCTCATGTGAACAACATATCACCACCTACTGGTGGAGTGCATAACTACAGTTTCTATTGAAATCCGTGATTTTTTATTTTTTTTTTGCAATTGTTTTTCTCTTTTTTTCCATTTTAAGTTCCTTTGAAATTGTTAATGATTGGTGTGTATAATAAAATATTTTGTGGGTTTTTTCTTTTTTTTTTTAAGTGTAAAATGTCTTAGAAGAGAGCAATCATTTAAGGTGCACTGTTTTTCTGCCATTTTATTGAAATGAACTCAAGCAGACAGTGAAACTTTTTGTCAATGATGAGAAAAATGAAAGGTGTTTGTAATTTTTATTCAAACATAATAGTTTTTGCACACTTTTTGGTTTTAATCGGGTTGGATTTGGCTAAATCAGCCAATTTTATTTGGCAGTGTTTTTACCTAATCTATATTTTTACAATACAAATTAGTCTCATTACCCAAAATACTTAAGTATAATCGCAACTTTCAAAAGTGGGTCTTGAACCATCAGCCTCAGGAGTGGAAGGTGGTGTCTAACAGATGACGCCACTACCATTGTATAGTAGTAGTATAACATGTAACATTAAAGTTACAGCTGTGTCCAGTGGCTTGCTCAGATTTTGATCGTTACATTGTTTAATCTGACCAAAATAGTTTTAACCAATTAGATCTGTTGTTTTTCCAACCAATCTATTCTTAGAATCTATCCAAACTCTATCCAACTGACAGCACCTCTCCTACAAACTCCCACATCTTGCCTGTTGAAGTTCTTGCTCTTTCTGAACCACTTCCCCTAGTGGTCACATGGTATCACGGTAGCGAGGCTTCGGACGGCATCAATTTTGGCCCCTCCCCTAAATGAATCACACCTTGATACGCGATTCGAGGAAACGCTCATAACAACACTAAAATGGGTTATTTTATTTATAATAAAAAAAATTCTGTTAGAACTGTTAATATACAAATTGTCTAGAGCTGTTCTAAAGAAAATGTAATTTTGTTTTCACTCTTGTATACAAAATGACAAATCTGTCTATACCATACTACTTTTAACGGTTGGAGGCCGAGAAGTACATAATAATAATTGAAATTTATTGATCTCACATTGGAGAAATGCATTTAACCCATCCCCTTGGGGAGCAGTGGGCTGCTATTGTGCGGCGCCCGGGGAGCAGTATGGGGTTAAGGGTCTTGCTCAGGGACCCAGAGTTGCAGTCTGTGGCAGTGGGCCTTGAACTCAGAACCTTAGGATTCCAAGCTCTATGCCCTAACCAATAGGCCACCTCTCCCTGTTTTTTAAAATATATAAAATATATTAGGGGTGGAACGATAGTAAAAACTCATGGTTGTGTACGTACCTCGGTATGGATCCTACGGTTCGGTACATTTTCGGTACAGTGCAGAAACAAAAACCTGACCAAAAGGCTATCCTCAAAGGCAATAGATATCTGAATCCTGCCTGTTTTACTGTGGATTATGGCCGCACAGCAGATACGATGTAGATTCCAATTGCTTCTGTAATTTCTTTTGCTCTGCATGTATTCGTATCAAGGGGTTGTGGTAATACATTTGGGAGACGTAATTGGGCACTTTTCTTCTGTCTTTTGTTGGTGATGGGGATATCTGGGTGGTGTCGTTTGATATGTGTCAGCATATTTGAAGTGTTCCCACTCACGTAATGAACAGGTGTCGAACAACGACAACAGACCGTCTTTGTTCTGCTCTCCATCGCTGTTATACCTTACAGGGAACCCGAGGTTATCCCACACCACTGACTAATTCTTCGTCACTCGCCATTGTTAGCACTCGCTCGCAACAACAAAACCCAACAGCCTTTCCTTCCCACAGAGTTCAGTTTGTATTTTAAGGTGGCGTTTACTATCTAGACCAATTCAGGCATGTCTAGGACTTTTTCCCAATTCACAAGAACGCGAGTATAGACTTGTTTCCTTGCCAAGTATGTTCTTGAGAAGAAAAATTGGTAAATAGACCATAATGTTGACGATTTAAA